CAGCAGGGGTCTAGCAGGCTCCAGTGTATGAAAAGCACTGACGAGAACTCTTTGCCTGCGGGAAGTTGGATTTCCACTCAGGCCGCAGGTAATGGTTTTGCGTGCTATCTGTCTTTCAGTGCCACTCTAACTTTTTTCCTGGGATAGAGCTTAAAGCTGTGGTGGGTCACTTTTTCACAGAAGGGAAAATGTTTTTATGGATTTTTACTAACAGGTGTTTTTAGGGTTTTTTTTTTTTTACAGAGTCTATAAATTTCTTAACAGTTGGCAACCCTAGTCCCCCATCAAATACACAATATATTTTATGGTTAGTTCCTCTGTACTACTAAAGTCTATCTCTATAGGTTTTAACTTGTGTATCTACATCCTCTGGGGGAGTGACTAAGTGACTGCTTGGCCTTCACTGAGGTTTATGTGAGAGACAAGGTTTCTTTTATGTAAGGCAGCAAGAGGCTGTGGTTCTGAACATTAGACTAATGATCTTAAATGTAGACTGAAGTCTCAGGCATTATAATAGAAAGACTGCCTCTGGCCAGCTGTATCGCACAGTAAGTGCAGGAAGGAGGATTGTTGTGATTTGTGTCTTTGACCAGAAGCAAGCAGCTCAGGACTGAGAACAGGCAGGTGAGGACTTTTGTATGTGCCGTAGCAGAAGAGAATGGACAAATGGGTTTGAAAGAGTTTGCTTCTAGTCTTCAGGGATGGATCTAGGGGCAGGATGTAGACATGCAGTTGCACCCTGCTTTGATTCCTGTTCCACCCAAACTTTAAAACCAACTGCCTAGGAGGGGCAGCAGCATTTTTATTCAGGCAGTGCTGAGACGGTCAATTAACTTCATGGCTTAGTATCATCTCCCTGATACCTGCTAATCTCCCTCCACTTCACAGGTGTTCACAAGCCTCTGTCCTTTGTAATGGTCTTGATGGAGGCACTGTCAAAGCGCTCAAGAAGGCTAGATTGTGTTAATTTATGAATCTGAATAAGAGATGCAAGTTTAACTATAATGATTCTAGGACTAATGAGACATTATCTTTTGACAATTATGACTATTTTTTGATTAGTTCGTGTTTTTGATGTTGATATAGAATCTAGGAAATTGGTGCATAGTCCAATAATTATCTTTGTTTTTGCTTTGATCTTAAACTGAATAATATAGTGCCATCCCTTAGCATCTTAGTAAAGCTTCTAGTTAATCTTTAATTGGGGGAAAATGTGTGTTGTATTATGTGTGATGTGCTGCAGCACCTGCACCCCACTTTTAAAGTCCTAAATCCGCCCATGCTGGTATATTTTACATTAGGATGGATTAAATAAAGGATACCCTTACATATATGATTCACCATTTGAGTGTTCACTGGGGTGGGCAGAACTGATGGATTTTTTTATTTGTTTTGAAAAGCTGGTAGGGACTGAAATGAGATACCGAGCGCTTTGTGAACAAGGCTGACTGCAATGGAAACTTCGTTCCCATCTATGGGCTGATTGGCCTATGTGGGATGAAATAGTGGTCTCATTCGTCGTATTAGTGGATTACAATTCATTTAAACACGTTAGTTCTTATGTGGGCTTTTTATTAAGGTTCACAAAAGGTGTCAAGGAAAGATTGACTGCAGTGGCATCTATTTCTCATCCCCAGAGGCAGCTAGTTCAGAAGACTGGACTACTTCAGCATTGCTGCTGCCCATCCCACACGTCTCCTGTAGAAAGTGGACTGTTGCAGAACTGACAATCAGGTATCTTTCATCAGCAGTAACATTTATTAATGTTATCAGAGGCATTCTCTTACTGGAGTAAAAGTGCCAATGGAAAGAACAGAGCATGTCATTACAAAGACTTTCTTCCACAGTTGTAGCCAAACTCTAAGTAGAAGCATTTTAGCAGAACAGAGTGAATAATATGAAACTGGGGTCCAAATATTAGTTTCATTCTTTTAAGTGAGTTTTCTTCAGCTCTGTTCAACCCCTGGATGTGTTTTACACACAGGTTTCAGAGGAACTAATGGAATTTGCAAAATTGTGTTGACTTGGGTGTGAAGTGTTTAACCAAACAGTCTGGAGGAAATGTTTCAAATTCTTAATTCATTTTGTTTGAACATTTATGGAGAAAAATGTTTTGACTTTCTGTTTAGAAGTTATGTTTTTCAATTAGAAGTTGACTGAAATAAAAAAATGTATTAGTTGTTGAGTCAGTTTGCATTAACAAACAGATGTACATTTATATGTACTTCTAAGTATTTCCAGGGTACAATTAGATTAAACTAGAAGAAAAGTTTGTTGCAACAAGTTTGTGTTGTTTCATGTACATATGATGCAGTACTAATAATGTGATAGTAATAGTGACAAAGGTTTCTGTATTTATCATAAGTTCACACCAGGCGTTAATTAAATGATAAAAAATGTGGTTCCTGCTGTGAAGAATTACAGTCTGGCATTGATCTTCCAATGATTTACGGCAACGTATAGAGTTACTCCCACAGAAGTTATGAGCACAGGATCAGGCTGTAAATCAGATATCCCTAGGACATACACCTGAACAAAAAAGGGAGTCAGAAAAAGACATTCAAGCAATAAAAGATAATGTGAGTTGTATTGGTACAGAATCATAATTTTTGACCATTTTGAAATGAAGATTGAAGAGGAGTAAGAAACTAAACAGATAAAGTCAGTAATGGCAAGTGAGGAAAGAAGTTAGTTTTGAGGGAGGATTTGAAGGATGAGAGCAAAAATTAAGAGTTGGAAAAAATTTTCCAGCAAAGAATTTCTTTCTTGGAAAATGTAGATTTATTTTTTTTTTTGCCAAGCTTGCAAAATAGACATGTTGATACTGGCATCAATTTCAACCAAAATGTTTCATTTCAAAACGTCATTTCAGCTTAATGATGTCAGCTTAAGGGGATGTATCACTTTGAAATTACAGTTTCCATGTTGCGTATTCCATGTTCCTGAATTAAAGACTTTGGTCAAAATAAACATTTAATTATAAAACATTTTGCTTCAGATCAACCTGCTGTTTCAAAGGGTGAAAACATTTTGATTTAGTTACAAGGGTCAGAATTCTTTATTTTGATACTTACAAATTAAATACCCCATGACACTGATATTTGGGGTAATTTTGATCAGAAGTGGGGATAGAAATGCATGTTAAGATATGATTGAAATTCTAGTTTCTAGTCAGTGGCAAGCTCTGAAGTTTGCTTTACAGAAAGAAAGGTGTTGAGTCAGGCAGATCAGACGGCAGGGCTGAAGATGTGAGGTAGAGAAAATGAAAGAAGAAACCAAGGACCAACAAGATATGCAGTGCTGAGCTACGGTGTGATGAAAAGTGAGATGAGTTACAGGAAAGATAGATCTATGAGGAGTCTGAAAGGCAGAGGGCAGATGGCAGAAATGATATGGGAAAATGGTGTGACTTTTCCAAGCTCAAACTGCAGCATAGGATGAAAGTTTCTAAACAAAGTATGCTGCTCAGCTGCTGTGAGCTGTCTTGATTGAGTCCCTGCTTAAAAGTGAGAATGGCATTTTGTCCTTTATGCAGGAGAGACCAAAAAGACCCAAAAAATCATAGAAAAAAAATTGAAGAGACAGTGAGAGTTGTGGCTACAAACCACTTACATGCGTTAAACATCATCAGCGTGTCTAGCGAGCATTAAACTTCCCAAATTTACTCCAGCTCGTTTAGCAAAAATATCATTTGCTTTCACTTCTGTGTCTGTAACCTTACTGCATCTCGCCCCCACCAGTGGCTGTCTGGCTCTTGTATCTTGGCTATTGTTCTGCTTCTTATTTTCTGTCCCTTGTGTTTGTCATTATCCCTTGTCTGCACTGAATCTTGTGCTTCTACCTGTCACCTGCCAACACAGACATGAACCAGGTCAGAGAAAGAAGATTATTTTAGCTGTCATGAACTGATAGAGGAGATTACAGGTGAGTTGGAATTGCTGAAGGATCATCACTTTTATGGTGCTTAGTCTCCTTTTCCTTCTTCTCATTTTAACCTCTAATGAAGTCATTTACAATTCTTCAAATGCTTGTACTTCAGTGCTTGATTCCAGGATTTAAGTAATCAGACTGCCCAGTGTGCTCTTAGTCATTCTCAGTTTTATTTCAAAATGAAGGGTCTGCTTTTGGAGTAAATGTATCCAGCCACTGGTAGGTTTTATTATTATTATTATTTTTTTATTTTATTATTCATTTTTTATGACAACACCAGGAAATCTCCACCAGAACAGCACTGCAGAGCTGCACGAATGCAAACTAAGCCACAGTGTGTGATGTGGTGAGCTGGAAAGTTAAAACCTGGATCCAGCATTTGACTACAGATACAGTGGTGTGTCTTTCTGCATCCCCTTGGGTCATGATGTGACTCCATGTGGTTGTAGTAGGATCAGGAGGCTGATAATAGGATGTTAGGCAGGACTGCAAACTGCATGTCTTTCAACTCAGGAACATGACAAGTTTGCAGTTCAAAAAGAAAGACCTACATGTCTCAGCCCAAATATCTGGGCTGGGAACATATGTAAGCCTATGATGTAACTTCTATTATAGGTAATTTTAATGACATTTTGAAGACCTGGAAGCAGTGGATTTAAGTGAAAACATCCTCTTAACATTAATCAATGGTTATCTATCTGCAGCTGATAATTTGCAAAAAGTGACCTATTACAAATCACTGATTTTTTTGTTTTGGATTATCAGGTGTGATACCCTGTGTTACTAAATGCATCATTATTTTCTTTTCTCCCCAAATCATGGGAAATAAGTAAGGCTTCCTTTAAAAAAATGGTTGTGCTCTTTTGCAAGTAGAATGCCGTCTTTTCTGTTTTGTGATAGAAATGGCTTTACCTTTAAAAATTAAAAAATAAGGATAAGATAATGGCTACATAGACTCACATTTCTATCCATCAGTGAAAGATTAGATCCTGAAAATTCTTATTCATATTATTGCCTTGATTTTCAAAATGTGATGTAAAGCATCCAGGTTCTTTCTAACAAAGCACTTTACCTCTACTTAATTTATTTGGTTATCTGTTTCAGTTGAAGGTGTAGATGCATCTGAAATAGCATTACTCTATCTGTTTTGGGTACTGGTGCAGTAAATCTACTGCAGCATGGGCTATAGGTACCTCACTTACACCCTTTGGCATTCTGCTTGTAAAACAGCAGCTTCCTCCATTGCCGTAAGCTCATTGTCAATACTGGATGCCATCTTTCCTTTTGAACCTGGTTGCAGGGGTCAGTAAAAGTGTCTAAGATGAACTGACAAGAAGTCTTTTATAGAATACTTGTATTCAAGGAAAACAGTTGTTTTTATTCATATTTTGTTTCTGTTCTCTTGAAACAGGACATTCTGGGTGGACTTGCACACTGATCTGTGATTCCAAGATATTTCCAGTGCTTTTACTTGTGGTTGTTTATGCTCTCCCCTGAGGAGAGATGGTTCAAATGTGGCTAGTTCTGACTCACTTCTTATATTTCCTAACTGGCCAGGTTCAAGGGTCAGGTAGGTGGGAAAGATCATAAAGTGAATGCAGTGTTTTACGCCTCAAGGCATTACGAAGTATTCTGCGTTTCTGTTATATGAGATTGGAAGGACGCCAGGGGAAAGCAGAAGGATTTTCTCTGGGTGTGAAACAGGGTGGTGGGAGGCAGTGGGCAGAGGGAGTGGGAAAGGGGTGCGGGGAGCAGGTTTTGCATACCTAGATGTGAATGGGGTTGAGAAGCTTGGTTGGGATGGTGTAGAGAGGGTTTGCTGTGCTAATAGGCATGGAAGTAGGAGTGGAGTTTTTAAAGCTTTAGGGTGTCAATTAGGGAGTCTGTTGTTATTTCTTATCTCATGGGTGGCTTGTCTGTTATTGTACCCCACTGGGAGCACTTCCGGATACCACAGGAGTTAAAGCTGAACAGCAGCTCTACTGTTACTCTGAAATTGGCCTATGTTGATAGAAAAGCTACTAATTAATGCAAAACCACAGTGCAAGCAACTGAAGAGGCTTTACTGATACAAGTAGGAAACATCACACACAGTTAGAGATGGGAAAGCCAGAGAGTGATGTGCATTAGAATCACAAAATAAGCTGTCCTCACCCTGACCTGCCACAGGAAGGTGCTGCTGGACAGGCATGCAGTGCACAGTGCATGCAGACTCCATCTCCAGTACAGCTTACTGCAAACTTCCAGAATTAAGATTTCTGGGATACATGTCCTATGTTTTGTCCCACAATTGCCACAAATACATTGGGGAATCACAGGCTTTAAACCTTGTTACAGAGACATGGTGGCATGTACAGTTTTAACTACATGCTAACCACATTGACTGACTAAATGGTATTTTCCTGTCTCGCCCTCAGAGGAGTTTCCTCCTTTTAAGTGATTCTATCCCCTCCCTAACACTTCCCCAAAGCCTGTAACAAGGTAACCAGAAGTCCCTGGCTAAAGGGGCTGGATGGTATTTTTTTTGGAACATAATGGTGTGATTTCTAGCTATTTTGCATCACTAGAAAGCAGCACATGTCATTGTCCCCCCTGCATTGCCAGCCCTTGATGGATGGGCATGCAGTAGACCAGCTATGGAAACTGAGCACTTCTTTTATGTAGCATTATGGACTGTGAGGCACAGGACAGCCAGAAATCCTTGAGCAGCAAGCAGGTGGTAAAGGGAGAGGGGCCAGGCTCCAGTTCGGTAGTGTTCTCCAGTGGTGACTGAGATGCAGTCCAAATACAAACATAGCAAGGGGCTTCCACAGAATGCAGGATCAATGAGATCAGTGAAGTCTCTCTCACACATCTGTAGCTGTCAACCAATTTTAGATCATATGGTATAAGTACGCTGACATAGGTGTGAGGATTGACACTGTGAGAGGTTTCAATGCAGTGCAGGGAAGGGGATGCTAAATCATAATGAAACTAAGAACTTCCTAAGCTAAAATTGAGTGGAAATGACATTATTACTTCACTGCTTCTTCCCATGTAGTGAGCAACATGTTTGCAGTGACTGGTACTAAGGCTGTGCTGAGATGCCCTTATATATCAGTGGCACCAATGATTTTGGCAGTATGGAATATAAGTGCAAAGAATGGAATGGGATGCTTATTGGCTTACAGAGCTGATACCAATGAGACAAAAAATGTAAACTGCAGCGAGAGGATGACGTGGGAATCTAGACCTGATTATGACCCTTCCCTTCAGATTCACCCTGTAAAGCTTGCCGATGAAGGAACTTACATGTGTGAAGTTGTAAATAGTGATGGGAGTTTTTATGAGACCTATGCTCTGACCGTGTTCGGTAAGAAGCATCTTATGCTCTTTATTTTTGAGGTAAAATTAACTTGATTTTGCTTTGACAGGCAAATTCCCTATTCTGTGCATGCTAATGCTAGGAAGTGAGGGTTAGAAAAAACTCTTCAGAGAGGACGTTCAGCATTTATTTCCTAAATTTGCTCTCGTCACTAATGACAGGCTGACTGGCTGTTCACAGAGAAGGGTAATAGGGATGAAGAGCAGCATTGGCAACGTGTAGGCCGTGCACCCCTGGAAGTGCCAGATGTGAAACCAAAAGTGTCGGCAGAAGTGCACTTCCAGTTTTATCACTAGCTTGGCGATTGGCTGCTTGGGGGGGATCTTTGCTCCCTCGTTCCCTCCAGACTCGGGAAGCACCAGTCGCCCATGAAGAGTAGTGTAGATGTATGGGGACTAAATGCTTTGTTGTTTTTACAGCAGAGATAAGTGGGCACAGGGGAGGGATTTTGAACATTATCAAAAGCAGCATGCTATAGTAACATTCTCAGTTACATGTGATGAAAGTTGTTGCACACAAGACTTGTTCAAAAGTTTACATGAACTTTAGAATACACCATTGGCCTGTGAAAAATGGAACTAGGTGACATTAAATATGTATCTATCTTAGGTAGCTAAGGTAGTGATATCTGTGTATACTGTGTGCATGTAAGATCTTCAGGACTTGGCTGATGAATATTTCTTTCATTAACTTAAAAAAGGTATGAGGATGAATTAATGAGACCAGTTCACCAAAAGAAGCTTGGAGCACACTCATTTTCAGCCTAGGAGGGGACAAAAGATTACCCAAAAAAAAACTTACCCAAAAGTAAAAACATATCCAAAAGTAAAAACATTGTTAACAGAAACTGCAGATTTTACCTTAAATTTCTAGAAACATTCTAGTCTGGAAGAAGACTCTTTGTTCCAGTTGGACTGTCGCTGGTAGGTGCTGTAAGGCTTTGGCCCCTTTCTGGTTAGTGTCTTCCTCCCTAGTGACGTCAGAATGAGACCGCACCCTGGGTCCACCTAGATGGTTCCAAGCACTGCCCCTACTCGCCTGCCACGACTTCAGTGTTGATTGATGGGAAGGCAGTTCCCTGTTGGTGGTGCAAGAGGGGTCTTGACCCTGGTCTTTCTTTGTGGGGCTCCAAACCTCCCCTTTACCCCATTTTTACCACATCCACAGCCTGGGAGGACTGTGCTCCCTGTAATCTTCCCCAGGATGATCTCTTCTCACCTTCATGGCCCGCCTCGGTTGGGATCAGGTCTGTTCGGCCATCAATCTCTCCTGAATTGATCCCTAGTCTTCAGACCAACCTTCGGGTAACTAAACATGCCCCAGCCTGGGGGTAATGATAACGTAGAAGATTCTTAACTAAAAGAGAAGATGTTTGGCATCTGCTGATGGAGTGCCTGGGACTCTGGCCCCCAGGACCTCTCTGCCTCCCTGGGACGGGAGAAGGAATTTTGTCCGTCTCTCCGGGTACTCTTCCCAGGGACCAGCAGACTAGGAGTTAATCACTCCTGATCCCACCACCTGGTGGAACTTGCCCCTTCCTCGCTGAGCTCTGGGCCAGTCGCCGCCTGCTTCTCCCTCTTCACCAGGCTGCCTACAGGGTTTTGCTATCGTTCATTGCCCTTCTCTACCATGGTACATGAACTCTCCGGAGCAGCCTGATCTTTGCCCGTGATTGTGGGGACAATCTTCTCCCTGCTGTGACCCTTCAGCAAACTTCAGCTCCCCGGGCCTGGACCTGTGGTTTTTGCTGCAGGGTTTTCCTGGCTGATGCTGGGGCTTCTCGCCCTGTGCTCCGCTTCGCTGCTCCCTACCCAGCTCCACCATCCGTCTCTCCCTGCCAGCATCCTGTTTCTCTCTGCCCGGGCAGCTGGGTCTCTCCCCAGCTGCCTTTTGATCAGCCTGCACTTCCTTCAGGCCCCGCCTCCGGGGCTCGCTGATCCGCAGGCTCAGGTAGCTGCAGAACTGCTGAGCCTGAGTTGGCATTTCCCTGCAGCTGCCACTCGTCCTGGTCCCTGCCGTGAGTATCGGTGCTCGTTGGGCAGGGTCCTGGGACATGTTGGGAGGGGGTCTTCTACCTCCCCTCTCACATGAATTAATTCAGTTATAGTGATGTTGGAAAGGTTTGCCACTTTGCCAGGTTTCAATAAGGTACAGGAAAGGGAAGATTTAATCTAGTTATTCTACAATCACCATCATAATTAATGTCACCTGACTCTTTCCTGAGGACTTGTCTTTCAGATAGAAGCTATTGTCTATCTCTTGTCTCTCCCTGGTTAGAATCATAGCTAAATAGGGCTGGAAGGGACCTCCACAGGCCATCTAGTCCAATCCCCTGTCTGAGGCAGGATCACGCCTATCTAAACCATCCCATAAAAACCATAATCTAAACCCTACATAAGCCTACCATCTACTTGAC